ATATATATGTTCTCACACAGTATTTATTGTTGTTTTGTTTTGTTTTTGTTTTTCTCATTATTTTGGATTTGGGAATTTTTCTGTGTAATTCTCTCCTGTCATCTCCACCCTCCCTCTTTCTGCTTCCCCTCCCAAGCAAGCTCAGGTTGAAACTTTGCTGAGCTCATTCACTTCGCCCCCTCCAGGGATGGCTCTGAGCTCTCGAGCCCACGCTTTCTCTGTGGAAGCCTTGGTGGGGAAATCCAGCAAAAGAAAATCACAAGACCCCAGGGAAGAGGTGCAGACTGATCTGAAGGAGGAAAATAGCAGAGAGCAAAGGGAAGCAAGAAGAAACAGCGTTGTAGGGAAGAGTCAGCAGCCCGGTGAGTATCCGCAGCTAATTCCTTTTCTCCTAGCCCTCCTTTCAGCCTCTCATGCTTGCTTGATCGATTCACATTTCTCAGCCTGGCTCACCTCGCTGTGAGAGAGTGGCTAGCCCTACCCAATAATATCCTCGCCCAGCTTTACAGCCAAGTAGCTCGCTGAGGGACACCTCTACCACCTAATTTTAAAGAGTTTCAGAGCGTCTGAATCCCGCTGCGGAGTACTATGTTTCCTTTGTAGTGAATCTGAGGATCTCTCATACTTAGGAAGATGTGAGGCTCACAGAACCCCTAGGTAGTACAGTAAGCCAAGCCAGAGGATAGCTGTTCCTCAAGGTAACAAGCAGGATGTGCTCCTAAATTCAAAGGGGACACAGCCTCAGACAGGAATGTCTCCTGGAGTGTGTGGATAAGCATATCTATAGGGACATACTCTCTTCATTAAGGAATTGCAGTGTTGTGGGGAGCTTGTGGATCTACCATCAGGGAAGGGAGGGGACAAGAGCTGCCTGCTCCAACTTAGGAAATGCCAGAAGGGCATGCACAAGGTGAGAAGCTCTCTCAAACCCTGGGCATCTCTGTGTCCAGCAGAAAAGCAACCCAAGACAGAGTCTTCAACAACTACTTTCTCAGGCTGTGGTGGAGGCAGCAGCAGTTGCAGCAATGGCAACAGTCAGAAAAATTTGGAAGAGGACGATGTTATCCAAATGGAACTTCAGGGATCTGAGCTGTGGAAGAGATTCTATGACATCGGGACTGAGATGATCATTACCAAGGCTGGCAGGTTTGGCCCTGCTCAAACTTTTCATGAATCACTTATGACACAGTAGGCACTTAGTGTATCATTCTACTTATAAGTGGAGACTCCAGTTTTGTGCTCTATTACTCCCTCTTGCTACTACTTGGTACACATTAGAAAGCCACAAGCTCTTCAATTTATTGAGCTTGGACATACCTAGCCCTATGTAAACAGATTATTCCTTTTCTGCACATCTTGACTCCAAGAATTCACTGTCCAGCTTCTGCCCGTTATATATGACAAAAATCAGACCTGCCCAGGCAGGTGCCATATGTCAACTCCATGTCTTAGGCTGAGGCCAGAATTCTAAATTTTAAGCCTCACAAATACCATAGGACAATAATCCATTCCACAGGCCCTTAGCCCACCATACCTGGCCAAAGTCACTGTGAAGTGAGACTTTCCCAGGGCTACCATCTGGTATGAGGCAACCCTTTTATGGCAGCTGAGTGATTTTTTTATCAGTCTTCCTATTTTCAGCCTTTCTCCAATCTGTCCACAGACCTTACTGCTGAAACACAGGGAAAGGCACAGAACCTTTTCTTTCTTACTTTGTCTGTTATAACTTTTTATTATGGGGTATACAGAGAGGAATTATGAACAAAGCTTTGTGTTAAGGATATTCTGCTTCACTCAGAAATCCTGGACTTTTCAATCAGGCATATTATCAATAGTCATTCCTAGTATAGCAAATATCATTCCCTAAGCCTGTTATGGAGTAGGAAGGGTTTTGTCAGTCTCTTTACCTTTTACTGACATAAGCATTTGTCCATATCCCCTTCCAAACGTCTCTAAAATTTCCCAGACCAGTCCCTATTTTCTTTCCCACAGGCGGATGTTCCCCTCTGTTCGGGTCAAGGTGAAAGGGCTGGACCCAGCGAAGCAGTACTATGTGGCTATTGATGTGGTGCCAGTGGATTCCAAACGTTATAGGTAACTGGGCCCAAATGAGACTATCCCACACTCAGCATTTTGACCTTCAGACTTATAACTGTACAGTATGACCTTTAAAACTGTAACACATGGAGAGGAAGGTTGTCTTTCCTTGGGCTTGGCAGTTGCATTTTGTAGTAGGTTTGTTCCTCTCTTTCTTCCTGGGGATATGTGTGCCAATTGATAATTTAATGTACACCTAGACCTCTAGCCTAAACACTGTTCTGGCATTGGTTATGTAAACTGTGGAAGGTATAGGCTCTGGTGACCAGGAGGGAAGAAGTGTGAAGGAATTTGGGGAGAAATGCCCTAGGCTTTATGTAGGTCCAAGGATTCACTAAAATCTGGGGTGTGCTTCTTTGGTAACAGGTAGCCACTGGTTTGTCCCAAGGCTAGTAGAGAGGTCATTATGCCTAGGCTCGTATTTTGTGCTTTCTTTAGCCATTTACCTGAAGTGGTGGTTAGGTCTCAGGGGGTAGGAGAACCTATTCACACTTTTCTCTTTAAGCCCTCTACTAAGAGCAGGCTGAAAGTGGCTGAATTGTTTAAATCTAATTGGATCTTCTGAGCTAGCAGCACAGAAACACTGTCCTGCTGATGTTTTGACTCAGAGAGTTAGAGGGTAGGGCACTGTGAGAGTAGCATGTACTACAATCTGAGTATTTGATCTAGAGGTAGACGAGGTGACTGATCCCCCAGAGAGAGAGCCTGCCTGGAGACCAGTGCTGATTTTTAAGGCAAGAAAAAAGTATGCCTCACCAGACTGTTGTAACTATGGCCTCCAAACAGCAGAATAAATTGTTTGATTTTCTACATTGCAGTTGATTTGAGAACACAGAGCACAAATTGAAATTTTGATTAAGAATATATATATATATATTCCCCAAGATAAATGCAATTAGTATGTATCAAAAACATATACTAATAAAAAAGACTAAGAGAAAGAACAACTGAGAGTTTGAGGTTGGAAACAACAGGCAAATTAGCCCTAGACTGCATGCAGTATAGTTCCTGGGAATTTTCTGGTGTGAAAAGCCTTACTGATGAAATGGCTTAGACAGTGACTGGTATCAGTAGACTAGATAGATACTCTGCTCAGCTTTTCACTTCCTTGATGTTTCTCACCAATGCTGGTGCTTTTTTCTGGCATCACTGCACATTGATATGGTTTAGATAAATTTCTGTTGCTATTTCCATGAGTAAACACAAACCAGACTTGAACATCTCATGATATTTTACTTATCCTGGCACTTTGTCACATTTTCAAAATACGCTTATTTACTTTTTGTTTTTTTGCTTCTGAATCCTCTTTGGAAATCAAGATAAATCTTCTGCTACCTGCCTTTGAGATCAGAGGGCTAATCTTTGGGGAGGTGCTTTGTACCAGAAACAGAAGCTAGCCTCTCATGCTCCTGGTTTTGGTTGGCTGAGCCTAATGCCAAACCCTATGCCTTTTCAGATATGTGTATCACAGCTCACAGTGGATGGTAGCTGGGAATACTGACCATTCATGCATCAGTCCTAGATTCTACATCCATCCGGACTCTCCATGCTCAGGAGAGACCTGGATGCAGCAGATCATCAGCTTTGATCGAGTGAAACTCACTAATAATGAGATGGATGACAGAGGTCATGTAAGTGAACACAATGTTTCCCTCTGAAAAGGGAGATTTCAAGGCTTCTGCCCACAGGTCATCCTAGACAGGTCAAAGAAGCTTGTCTCAGTGTGGACTTTGGGAACTGTATAAGCTCTGTGCCTATGAGTAAAAGAAATAATGAAAGGCTCATGAAACCTGTGGCTCCTGAGAGTGCTGGCAGTTTAAAATGGTAAGAATAGGGAGTTTAAAGCCTGAAAGAGATCTCTTTAAGACAGAATTCCATTTCTAAGAGAGTGGGAGAGAACACTTCTTGGGGCTGCTAGTCACTTGACCTCCGGGGTAATCACAGTGGGTTCTTGCCTTCTCTGGACTTCACACAATTGTTAGGTAAACACCTTTGATATAATGCAGAAGGAGGATGCAAGTGGAGAACCAGAATACTGACTGAAAATTCCCCCCACAACCTGTTCTCATGAAAGTCAGTCCCTTCCTGTTTTTAGATCACATGGACCTTGAGCTGTTACCCTACATACATTCCTGCCTCTGCCTTGCCCATCCTGGCGCTGTGACAGCCACAAAAGAAGAGAGGGAAGCTACCAGGATTAGGAGGTGGGAAATGTTAGAAGGTTGTTCATCACATTTAGACCCATCAGTTACTGCTTGAAGAACCTATGGCAAGTGGTCAGGTCTTAATGAATCTTCTGTATTACCTGGCTATGCACATTTGGAAGCAGGAAAAGGCCTCAGTCTGAAATTTGAATCAGTGCTGCTTATTGTTTCTGAGGTGATTTTCTCTGGAAAGCCTTCACCCATGAGGGGCTCTGTACAGGGAGAAGCGGCACAGAAAAAACTCCTTACATACAGTTACCTTATCTTCCCTGGTTTAGTCTTATCTTTTTCTTTATATGTGCCAGAATTGGGGGTGGCCATGAGAGAGGAACAGTGTTGGAAAGTGAAGCCAGTTTTTCTGGCAACGTTGGACCCTTTCTCCCCCAGATCATCCTGCAGTCTATGCATAAGTACAAGCCTCGTGTGCATGTGATGGAGCAAAATAGCAGGGTTGATTTGTCCCAGATTCAATGCCTGCCTGCTGAAGGGGTTAAAACATTCTCCTTTAAAGAAACTGAATTTACCACAGTGACAGCTTACCAAAATCAACAGGTAAGCTGGCCAAGGGCCAGATGAGATGGAGTAGCCCCTGAAGAACTTGGGATAGAGGCAAGCTGCACTCTAGGATTGCATTTAATTAATTAATTAATTAATTAATTTTTATTGTGCATGTTTGCAGTACATGTTTACATTCCTTGTGGGGAGTTGGTACATGTACATAACACATCTTAATACTTTTTAAAATCCCCTTTCCCCTTCTTTCCCTCTGTGTATGTTTTTATGTTATTTTTTACCAGTATATGTGTGTAATACATAACATTTACATTCCCTTTGGGGAACTGGTACAAGTACATAGCATATCTTAATTCTTTTTTCATCCCTTAACCCTCCCTCCATCTTTTGATCCCTTCCCATTTAAGAAAAGTCTATCTCCCTATTTCCTATTAACAACTGAAAAAAATCATGGCTTTATTTCATTATCATCGAGTCAAATTTGATAATAAATTATGTGATTCTTGTGTTGTAAAGGGTAGCAAAATGAAGGGGCCAAGAGATAGTCATCATAAATTTGACTTATGTATATATTTGCATTTATTTAAAGTGCCACATGACAAGTTTCAGTGTTGTGTAGTTGTTGTAACCATTATAAGCAAGGGTGACAGTGCTGTTAGTGAGAAAACTGAATTTCTATTTCTCTTTCTTTTGAATTTATAGATTACCAAACTGAAAATAGACAGGAATCCCTTTGCTAAGGGATTTAGAGATCCAGGAAGGAACAAGTAAGTAGCATAACAATCAGAATAAGTATTTGTCCAGCCCTTTTCGCAAATATTAAAAATAATGAAACTGTGGCTCAGAGATGGAGATTTTTAAGCTTTTTGAGTAGGAGTTAGAAAGGAAGGTGATTAGAGGTTTGTTTCCAAAATCTTGCCTTCTCCCCTCTCTCTTAACTACTTTTAACATATTGCTGTTGTAAAATACTGTTTGAATTTTATTTAGAAGTCTAGCTATAAAAGGAAAATATTTCAGATAGTAACCCCTAAAAAATATAAAAAGTTTATAAATATAAATGACTATTTTTAAGAATTGCATTCTGGGATTGCTGAAAGTTGAATCTCTCTTTTTAGGGATGTATTTGATGGACATTTAGAGACCAACACATGGAGGCCTTCTCTCATGCTGGAATTAAAAACTTTTGGTGCAGACTCACAAAGTAAGCAAACTTGTAAAATTTAGTTTTATTTTTTACCTATTAATGAAACAGAAACAGCCAGACTCTTGTGCAAAATGTACAAGAGGATTAGTATATGCTAGTAAATATATGCTTAAAAGCAAGTGGATGTATATTTACTTGGGTGAAGTAAGAGGCAAAAAAGGAAGAGGGTTGCCATGGAGGAACAGAAGAGAACTGGGGAAATGGTGGAATTGCTGATATCTGTCTTTGAGTTATCTCACAGCCTTACTCCCAGATCTCACCTGGATTCTTCAGTATCTCACTGTCTCATATTCAGGATCTGCTTGTGGTCTGATTTGCAAATATATTAGCTATAGAAATGATATTTTAGGTCTTATGATAAATATTCAACATATTTTAAAATTGTTCCCTTTAAATTATATAATTTATCTCCAAATTTCCTTTTCTGTGAGTACATATTGAAATTAAGACTGTCATCAAAATTAATTTATGTGAATAAATGTATATTTTCATATCATTTTCAAACTCTCAAAAGTCATTGAACATTTGATACCTGATATCAAAGTACTCTGGTGTTCATAACATGTAGGATAAAATATATGATGAACAAGATATAAAAACTAGGAAGAGAAATGCAAGTATACCACTATAACATTCTTTAATGTGAAGTAGCATACTACTACTTGAAGGTAAACTATAAGTCAAAGATAAATACTATGAACATAGAAAAAACATAAAAATGTTAAATTTAAGAAGCCAACAAAGAAGCTCACAGGACATACAAAAATAAGATATGGGATAAATTTGGCATGTATGCTATAACTTATTCTTTTTTTTAACTTATTCTTACTTTTAATTATTTTAATCCTTAAATTTTTAACTTGCATATAGAAACAAAATTATATATATTAATGTGGTATCTTACGATGTTTTGATGCATGTATAGATCATACAGTGTTTTCATCAGTTTAAACATATCTCCTCAAATATTTATTTTTTATAGGGCAAAAAACTTCAAAATCATTTATTCCAGTTTTTTGAAGTGTAGAGTACATTATTATCCATAGTCACCCTATTATGTACACCAGAGTTTCTTGCTCATGTCTAACTGTAATTCATACTCATTGATCAACATTTCCCCATCTCTTCCTCACCTCTACTCTTCCTAATTTCTGACAACCATCATTTTACTCTCAACTTCTATGAGATCAACTTTTTTGTATTCCACATATGAGTGAAATCATGCAGACTTGTCTTTCAGCCTCACAACTAATTTGACTGCCACAATCATTTTAAAATTTGCAAGGTATTTGTTCTCGAGTAGCATATTATATAGCTAAATAATAATAATAATTAGATAA